GTGGAGGGTCACTAGAAACTTCCTAATCCAGATGTTGGAATTTTAACACAGATACTAGAAAAATGTTCTAGGAAATAAACAACGTCTTATTGTTAACACTATACTTCCACAGAAGAACATAAATCACTCATCATAATCATATTCTTTATATTAAAATTAAATATTCTGAGAACCATTGAAATGAGTGAAGGTGTTTTCTGTTGCTGCTTAGGACACATGCTGCATACTTAGTGCCTTAAAACAGATCAAATGTATCAAATGGAGAGCAGAGTCTGACATGGCTTTCACTGGACTAAAATCAAATGTCAGCAGGGCTGTGTTCCTCCTAAAGATGCCAGTGAGAGTCCTTCTCTTTTCAGCTTCTAGGGCCGCCAGTACTTCTTGTCTTTTGGCACTTGGTTCCAGAGGCAGAGTTCTCTTGTGCTTCCATGTTCTTCTTGTGGTTCTCTGACTGTTTGTCCTCTCCGCATTCCTACAGGGAATGCTGTGACTCTGTTGGTTCTACCCAGATTACCCAAGGAGAGCTCTCTCTACCAAGTTCTTTACTCACATATGCAAATATCTTCTTGCCATGTAAACCTAGCCTCAGGATCTGAATGAAGATGGAGGACATGGTGCCATAACACTTGATTTTTTTACATGCACTATATTGCTTATTTTTCTTGTTACTGTGATGAAATACATAGCAAACATCACTTAACGTAGGAAAGCTTTACTGGGGCTCATGGTTTGAGAGAACAATCCAATATGGCAGGAAAGGCATGGTGGTAGGAACAGGGGGTAGCTGGTCATACTGGTTCTGCAGTCAGAAACAGAGAGAAATAAATACCAGGGCTTCACTGGCTTTCTCCTTTTTATTCAGTCAGGGTTTCCAGTACAATGGTACCATCCACATTGAGGGTGAGCTTTCCTTCCTCAGTTAAAATTTTCTGGAAATACTCTCATGTATATACGTGTTTCCACAGTGGTTCTATCCGCAATCAACTCAACAAGGAAAGTTACCCATCACCCTTACTTAGCTCAGGCCTCAATGTAAGAAGTAACCCAGCCCAGATCAGCAGGACCACCTGCCTGATCACCAATAATAAGCAGAATATAAGCAGATAGACATGAGCTACAGGGGGTAGGGTGTGAGACAGAGACAAAGAAAAAGATTTCCAGCTTATGCTTTCCAAATAGTATCAACAGTAAAAGGAACACTTCTAAACACCACACGACAGTCAGGACAGCCACCCATGGCTGGCCTATTAACCTCCAGTGTGGCACCTAGGGAGTCCTAGCTGTTCTAGGAGAAGGAGTTAGACTTCCTGCCAGTGTGGGTGTTTGGTGGGGCTCAGCTGCTAAGGTATCTGTCTGTCTTCAAGGCTGAGAGGTAAGACTCTGGTATATTTGTTCCAAAATTAGTATAAATACATATGAGGAATTTGGGACAACCAGCAGAGTTTGTGGAAAGGGTGTTCTTGTGTACTATTGACAGAGTCTAAACCAGGAAATATAAACAGATCTATAAACAGAGTCATGCCTGAACAGACGCGCTGTACAAGATTATCCTTCAAGCAGAACTTCCACTACCTTCATAGATCTGCTATGTCCCTTTAGAAAAGATCATCACAACTATGCCTTGTTGACTATTGCCCTTCTCTCTTAGAAGGAGGGGAGTAGAGGGCTGTGGGATGTAGCCAGGCTGGCCTTGAACTCACAGGGAGCCACCTGCTATGCCTCCGGAGGACTAGAATTAAAATGTGTACCGCCATGCCCTGCTCTGGCTGCTGCCTTTCTTGCTGGCAATCAGAGAACTTAAAAACACACCAGAGCTGAAGGCTGTGTGAGAAGTTTTACACATCAACTAGTTGAACCCCTACACATTCATCTACCTGAAGCAACAGTAGGCAACCAGCAGATCAACCCCAAGGCTGTAGCTTCAGACGTTAGACAATCCCCTGTAACCTTGAAAATAAATATTCTATCGAATGTAACAACAGAGTCTTTGTTATTTATGAAAACAGGTGTAAAGCTGGGTGCCAGAGAACTCAAGCTTTTCATAGTAGGTGGAAAAGCCACCTGCATTTCTTGCTGATGTCTAGATAGTGAAAGGGCCGGAGGTTGGAGAGCAGGTGAGCACGAAATGGTCTCTGGTGCTCCTTCTTTCCATCCAAGTACACATCTTGGATGGGCAGACATCCAAGAATAGGCTGCGTTGAAGTCATCCTAGAATGTGAGAGACATCAAAAGGGGCCCACAAATCCCAGGAAAAAAAAAAGAGGAGTCTCAGAATGAAAGAGTAAGCCCAAACAGCAGAAGAGACATCATCTCTACTGCTGTGACAGAGCAATGTCCTGACCCACGCTGCCTCAGTCCAAGATTGCAAACCTGTGAATACACTGCTTCCAAGTAAAAGAGACTTTGGAGCTATAGAGAAGGGGTCTTGAGATGGTGGATGGCTTCAGTGACTGGGTAGATACCATGCAATCACAAGGGTCCTCGAGAGAGAGATGCAGAGTCATGGGAGAAGTAATGAGAGAATTCGAGGTTGGAGATTTGGCTGTTAGGAGATGGAACTTACCTTGCTGTATGCTGTTGTTTCTGGTAACTTGAAAGATAGATCATCATAGGAAGCTCATCCAGCATCCAGGAACACAGCAGAGGAGTGTATCTTAGCAGTGAAGGTGGAGAAGAACTGGGAGGGCACCCCAAGGATGTCAGATTTGCATTTCTGCCAAGGCCAGGGCTACTAGAGCTAGGGTCAAATAGCAACTTTCTAGTCCCCCCTTATTTCTCTCCTAGTCCTGGAAACAGAAAGGTCTTGAAAACCATGGCTGAGGTGGGAGACACAGAACAGAAGTAGTATTGTGATAAGAAAGAGAAGCCATCACCTCCACAGATGTAGGCCCACAGAGGGAAGAAATACAGTGTGTGATTTGGAGTTTAAATGTCCCCTGAGGGCTTATGTGTGGTCCCAGCCTATGGAGCTACTAAGAAGTTATAAAGCCCTTAAGTGGTACAATCAGTAGAAGTTGGGTCACGGGAGGCAGGTCCTAGAAGGGGAGATTGGAACCCAGCCCCTTCCTGTCTGTCTCACCCTGCTTCTCATGTGCCATGCAATAAGCAAACGCCTCTACCAGGCATTCTTAGCATGACATCAACCTTGTCACTGATCCCTCTGGCTCATTAAGCAAGCAGACCCAAATCCCAGACAGATCTCTTCTGCAACACTACCTGCTATAATGACACCAGGAGCAGTGGAGGAAGTCCTACCTTCCACTTCCGTTCTCTCCTTCTTTGGAAGTGCTCTTAGTGGTGAAGACATCAAGTAGGTATGGGGATTTGATGGTGCAAGTCTTAGACCTCAGACCCTTCCCTATGAGGATTCCCACCCAATGGGGCCTCAGATGTGGTAGCAGTGATATGTGACTGAGAAAGGCACCCCAAGGATGAGAAAGGCATCTTGGGAACCAATGACTTTATTGGAATTATCTTCAGGAATATGGGTGAGAGCTTATTTATAGACACATGAGTGACTTAAAGGGAACTCTGTTCCTGAAAAATCCCACTCCAGAATGGGTAATGGCTCATGAAACTCTTTGAGCTGCTTGAGAAACTTGCAGACAACTAGGCTGGAGAGGATCATCTCCCCAAAAGTTATTGCTTATATAACCTCAGGAAGGTCCTTCAAGAACTTCCTGAGACTTCAAAGATTTTATTACTTCCTTAGTCTCAATGAGCCTCTCTCATTAAGAAGAGGATGCTCCAATTCATATGAAATAGCTACACAATGGCCAATGGGAATATGCACTTAGGGTAGGAATGGAGGTGTGTGTGTCTGTATGCCGGTTCATATACCAGTCTGAATGCATACTTAGAGCAGAGGTGTGGCTACATATGTTTGCATGTTTGTGCATGTCAGCATGAGTGCAGGTATATGCACTCACACCTGTGTTCTAGGATCTTTCACTACTTGTCTTGATATTGTATCCTTAGGAGCAATATTCTACAGTAATGGTTCTCAACCTTTCTAATGCTGTGACTTTTAAAAACAGTTCCTCATGCTGTAGTGACTTCCAATCATAAATGTATTTTTGTTGCCACTTTATGACTGTAATTTTGCTACTGTTATGAACTGCAATGTAAGTGTTTTTGGAGATAGAGGTTTGCCAAGGGGATCACAAGCCACAGGTTGAGAACCATTGCCCTATAGGCTTAATCCAAACATCTCGTGAGCTGGCATCACACAGATGGCTGCATCCTGCCAGCCTCCATGCCTTTGACCTTGCCTTTCGATACCAAGCTGGAGCTCCTGTGGGGTCTTATCTTTCTGAAACCCAACTTGTCAGGCAGGAAACTCCCCTCCTTCAGCTTCCTGCTCACCTCTAAAACATGGAGTCGGCCACTCAAATGTCACCAGCTTTCCCAAGTGAGGTTCCCCAGGTCCTTGTTTCTTTCTCTCCTCCTAGTCCCTCTGCTCTTTAGACATATTGCCTAGAACCAGTGTCACAAGAGCCAGGTCAAGGAGAGGGCTTCCTCAAAACCCAGCTTCTCCTCATGAACTTCTCCTTCCCATCATCCTGCTGGTTAGGCTATGCTTCCTGAGACCCAATACCCTTCATGTGTCCTCCATTGCCTATCCCTGAGTGTTCTTTGGCCTCTCATGACATAAGCTCAGTGGAAAGAGGCCTCTGGCTTAGCTTCTACGGAGGGAATAACAGTCCACAGAAGTGTATGTTGCTGAAGGAGAAGCCCCCACAAAATATAAGTGTGCGTGTGGGTGCGTGCATGCATGCATGCGTGCGTGTGTGAAATGAACTATGTAAAAAGAATGAGAGTAGATGTGAGTTTGCCAGTCATTGCAAAGTGTCCCTTGAGTAGGCAGATGGGAGGAGAAAGATAGAGCTGTGGGTGTTGCTGCATGTTGCCCTTAAGTCTGACTCAGGACAGCTGTGGTCAGTATGTCCCAACAGATGAAGACAAGGGGGAAGCTCTTCCCAATATTCTCCAGATGAATAATGATGGCCAGACTTTGGAAGGCACCATGGCTCCTGTTAGTCATTCTGGTGGCCCTTGTGGCCTTCAGCTATCAAGAAAAGAGGAAGACATTTGTAAGTGTCCACGAAGTAAATGCAATAGAAGTTTCTGTCCCAGGCACATTGAAGTATGTCACAGAAACATACAACAAAGAAAGTGGTGACTTGTACAACTTCAGGATCATCCGCATCCTGAAGATTGAGAAGCAGGTGAGTACGTGGCATCCCTGTCTCTCCTCTATAGTGGGACCCAGTGCTCTGGTAAAACCCCAGGTGTATGGATAGGATCTCACTAGACAGACTAGGTCAGCCTCAACCTCGCAGCCTTTTGCCTCCGTCTCCCCAGTACTATAGTTACAGGTATATGCTACCATTCCCAACTGAAAGTGGGTGCTTTAAGAGAAATGTACATTTGCTAAAGTGAATGAATCTGTCGTTTCCATGATAACCAACAAATTACACACCCAGGTCCAACTGTCCTGGTCGTGTGCCTTTTAAAGCAGTGCTATTGGAGCCATCTGTGCTGTGTCCATCTGGGGCTGCCATGCAGCCGAGGTCAGTCTGTAAAGTTACAACACAGAACACATGGCCTACAGAGATTAACCTGTTTACTATCTAGCCATTCTCAGAAAACTTGTACACAGTTCTGCCTGGAACTATTAGCCTTTTCAATGCTGCCCGAAAGATAGAGAACGACAGGTTTTCTGGCAGTCTTGGTGAGATTTCAATGTCTCCTAGTAGTTTTGGTGCTATCCCACTGAGTGACTAAGAGAGGCCTGGAGTCCAGCAGGAAGGAGAGCAAGGATCCTACAATTGTGCAAGACTGGGCCCTTGCCATTGAGCATGGTGTAGAGCTGTCCCCTCATCTAGAAGCCACAATGGGGAGAAGAAGCCATCCTTCATTTCCCTTCCCTCACTACCCACAGATAACAGACCACATGGAGTTACACATCAGAGTGGAGATGCAGAGGACCACCTGCTTCAAGACAGAGACAAGCACCTGTGATGTCCAGAGAGGGGAACTTTACAAGGTGCTAGGCAATGGCACACAAAGCCATTTTCCATGGGTTTTTCTGTGGTTTTAGCATAAGGGAAGGCAGACTTATTTGGAATCTATTTAAGTTTCCTTGAAAAAAAATCTCATGAGTGATATTTCCTATTTCAAAGAGGAAATTAGAGATGGAAAAAGCAGAGCCATCATTTGTTGGTGCTGGAGGAATCACAAGAAGGAGGAAGGGGTCCAAAGGGAGCAGTTTGGTGGCTGAACTACAGAAGGACACCCCAGGCCAAGGGAAGCAGTTAATTATTAACCATATTTTAGCAGGAAGTGGGAAAATGCATTCTAAAATAATTTAACTGGTGTACAGTGGACTAAGAAAAACAAGTCTGTGTGGGTGGCCTGCTGAGGGACATGCTGAGTGGTCTTTGGCCCCAAAGGCACCTCAGTCCCCTGCAGAATTCATTCTGACCCGGCAGGAGGCTGGCCAGATGCTGCACAACATCATCACCACTTCTGTGTGCATAGTCAGGGTATGTCCAACACACACTCTGGTTATGACTCCTAACAGCCCTGTAACCATCTCTTAACTTTCCCCAGATGAATTTGAGCAAGGATGGCTGTATGTCCCTCTTTGTCTGGCATCATCCTGGTTGATGTCTAAGTTTTTAATGTAATCATTAATAGCCTCACCTTTTGCTTATAACATGTTCTTGTTCAGTTCATAAACTATACGGTAAACCCAGTAATAAGGACTTGGAGGTTCTCAACACACAAATGTATCCTTTCCTGGGCTCCCTCTTCATATTAGGACATAAAATTTTATGGACATAAAATCTGAATGAATGAAAGGAAGGATAGATAGATAAAAGGAAGGAATAGGTGGGAGGATGGAATGATAAATAGGTGGATGAATGGAACTAGAAGGGTAGATTGTGAGTGGGTGTGTGGATAGATAAGTAAACAAAAGGAAAGGAGAAAGAAAGGGAGGGAGGGAGGGAGGAAAGATATTATAAAGAAGAAGAGAGGAATGGAGAGAAGAAGAGAGATGTGGATCCAGTAGAAGCCCAGGAAGAGAAAATATGATAAACACCACAGGAGTGAAAATGATGAGAAAATAGAACCAGTAACTCCCACAGTGAGTATGGGTTGGACCTTCTATTACCACTCCAAACCTGACCACAGACAGGATAGTCTCCAGAAGAATCACAACAGTGCTTTTGTCGAATAAATGAAATCACATAAAAACCAGGATTGGGGCTGAGGGGAGCAATGAGGCGGTGCTGTTTCCCTGGCCTCCTGTTTGAGGTTCTCTTCCTTCTCACCTCGCATTTTAGCTCTTTATTTTAATAGAATCTGACTATGCACCCCACTTGAACTCTCTGTAAATGTCCAGACCTCAGATTCCCAATTCCTGCCATTGCAGAGCACTGCCATGCCTGCCTCTTGTTCATCTTTTAAAATATGCATTTTGGTTTTTTGTTTGTTTGTTTTAGCAAATCCAGTGCTACTTCTCAGTGTATGCCATACCCGAGTTTGAAAGATACAAAATTCTCAAGAAAAACTGTACTGATAGCTGAGTGTCTTGGAGCACATGCTGTGTCCACCAAGTTTCAGGTCACCCTGCAATCAACAGTAATCCTCAATTCACACAATAAAGACGGTAGCCTGTTCTCTTCAAGGTCTTCATGTTGTGACTCCATTTTTTCCCCATAAATTCTTCAGCTGTAATAACAAAATGTGGAGACCCACTAGGGGGAACCAGTGAGGGATAAAGATGGTTTCTGAACCCATTGGTTTTTTGTTTTGTTTTTTAAAGATGTATTTATTATGTATACAGTGTTCTGTCTGCACATATCCCCGCAGGCCAGAAGAGGGCACCAGATCTCATTACAGATGGTTGTGAACCACCATGTGCTTGCTGGGAATTGAACTCGGGACCTTTGGAAGAGCAAGTAGTGCTCTTAACCTCTGAGCCATCTCTCCAGCCCCATTGTTTATACCCTCGTGATAGTGGAGCTTCATCCTCAGCTTCATAGCAAGTAGGGGACTTTAGGACGTTTTTGTCTATCTGTTTATTTTTGAGATCTGGTCTCAGGTAACCTCATGCTGACCTGGAACTCACTATGTAGCCACCTTGAACTCACTATGTAGCTGAGGATGACTTTGAACTTACGATCTTCCTTTCTCCACCTCCCAATGCTGGCAAAATAGGCATAGACCATCACACTCAGCTTTATACAGTGCTGGAGGTGACGCGGGTAGACAGCATCAAACACAAGACTTCTTGCAGATTAAACAAACACTCTACAAACTGAGCAACATTACCAGGCCAATTATTCTGGGTTTTAAGACTAGATGGAGAAGATATGGAGAAAGACAATAAGGAGATGGAGGGATGTTTACAGTGGGTAACTGAGTCGCAGAGATGTTAGCAAGTGACTCTCACTGTGGAATCCCTCAGGAGCCTGACAAAGAGCCCCCCACCAAAGTATGAAACAAGAAGGAAAAACACAGAGAACTAAGAAAGACAAGAACCTTACTCCAGGTCCAGTGTTGAGATGCCCTTTGTTTCTGTAAGGAAACACTAAACTCAGATCTAGACTCCCACCACATTACACCAGCAGCCAGGACCAGAGCAGAATACATCTTGGATTCTGGAGGTTTTATCTATGAGACAAAGGAAAATATATGCCCCGTGGGAAAGAGGACATGGTCCACAATGTCATTTTATTTTCTCCATATCAACCAATGGGATTAAATCCACTAGAAGAGAAAGGAGCATAGTCAGGGAAAAGCCAGGAACACTATATCACAGGGACTGCACTTTCTGTCTTGATCTGTTTCCTACCAATAATAACACAATACTACAAATGAAGTAAATTATTTTTAATAATAGTCTAATTGTACATTAAGAAATTTAGCTCAAAAGGAAAAAACACAAACAAATTATGAAATCTCTTTAATTTGCAATCAGACATGTTTAGGAGTGAAGTATACTGATGTCTTCAACTAAATTTGAAGTACATATGAAAAAGGAGACTGTCAGGTAAATATAAGAATGGGAAAGAGATGCTTAATACCAATACAAAATACAAATTGTAGAGTGTAAGTGGTGAGCATATAGTTGTTCTTTGCAAAATTATTTCAACTTTAGATCCTAAGTTTTAAAATGTTTACCAGTATTCTGGAAGAAAAAAAACATGAATGCATACATTAAACTACAGAGTTGGACTTTAAATAACTTGCCAGAATGTGCTTGTATTGTTTAAAATAGCTCACACTGGAGCTGAAGAAATGGCTCACAGGTTAAAAGTACATTTTGTCTTGCAAAGGACCTGAATTCTATTCCCAGGACCCATGTCAGGCAGGTCACAAACACCTGTAATTCCAGCTCCTGAGATATCCAAGGCCTGTGACCTCAGTGGGCACCTACACACACACACACACACACACACACACACATTAGATGAAATCTATGAATAAAATTGTAGAGTTATTTATGACATTGTTTGCAATTTATCCTGTGCTCATTATATACAAGAAACTTACAAAATGCCAAAAACTGTTATAAAACTTAAACATTCACAGGTATCATTTAAAATATGAATTAGGCTCCTTATTTAACAAGTTAGAGAATAAAAGGCAGAAGATTATATCATTTGTAGGAGGAATCAAGAGGTGAAGTTAATGTTGTCAGCCACTACATTCTAAAAGGAGGACATTTAAATAGAGATTGTTAGAGTTTCTACTTCAATTTCTTCAAGTGAAGTAATGACAAAATAACTAAACAAACAAGCAAACAAACAAACAAATGCCTCAGTATCACTAGAATCCCAGAATTTCTATTCTGACCAAGGTCTTTTCCACTTACATAGGATTTAAGTGTAGTTTTAAAACATATTTTCATTAACCCTATGGGAATTTTATACATGCATACAATTATTTTGGTCACTCCTCTCCCTAACTCCTTCCTCTAACTCCTCCCAGATCCACCCCAAAGCCTCTCAACTTCATGTTCTCATTAAGAGTGCGGCCCTTGGTAGGATCACCACATTCCAGTGATTGTCCTCACACCCATGAGTATATGACAACAGAAACATGACTGGACTCTGTAGGTTATAAAATAGACTAGTAAATTATAAAGAAAGCTATGTGGACTCATGGTTCTGGTCTAAGGTTAAATAGCACCATCTAGTGATAGCCTTCTTTTTAAAGGCCCAGACCTGAGGTAGCACAGGACATCACATGGTGAGTGCGGCAGGGAGTGGCAGAGACCTTTCTAAACTGACTGGCTCTCACGATGATTCAGTAAGTCATTAACACAGATTTATCAGACAAGTGAGTTCATCCGCTTACATGGACAGAGACCCACTAACTTCCTAAAAGTCCCGGTGGATCCCACCTCTTCTCATGATGTAGATGTATGTCTCCACAGGAGTTTAGGAGCACCTTTCGTGACAGCACATTAACAATGGGGACACCCCAAAACTTCAGTTCAGGAACTCAATGTCCCCAGGCTCCTTTCACACAGCTCCCCCCATTTTGTCTCAGGAGAACTATCAGCAATTCACATGTGCTCATTCCCATCTGGTAGAGAAAGATCTCATGCCAAGACTCCAGCAAAAGGCCTGGAGAGATGGCCTGGTGGTTAAGAGCACTTGCTGTTCTTCCAAAGGAAAGGACCAGAGTTCAATTCCCAGCTCACAAACATCTTAACCTTTAGTTCTGGGGGTGGGGGGTGGGGTCTGACACCCTCTTCTAGCCTCCATGGACATTGGCATCCATATTTAACACAGATACAAACAGACACATAAATAAAGATTCTTTTAAATTGACAAACGCATTCAGCAAAAGTCCAGGGCTTAATACTGTTAGTAGATCCTGCTGACATCATAGAGTCTCTCTCTCTCTCTCTCTCTCTCTCTCTCTCTCTCTC